AAAAAAGAGAGAAAAAAAAAACAGCAATAAAGACAAAAACAAAATGATACAAAAACAATAAAAATACAGGATTTCAAAACAAGATGATAGGCATTAACAATGGTTGTTATACTACATATTGTTATCTTCCACGAAGTTGCTCAGGTTACCAGATGTAAGAATGCAAGATTGATCAAACAATTAAGGACAATAACAATCAATAAAAAAATTAGAAACAACACAGAGCTTCATTAAACAAGATGGTAGGAATTCAGCAATGGTTGTTATATGGCATACTGTTTTCAAAGTAGTTGTTCCGATTAGCCCACATCGGCTGGGAATTTATGAGTGAACAAGACACCAATGGTTTTTTTTTTTTTTTCCTCACAACAGCCTTATTGTGATAAAATTCACAGGCCATACAATTCACCATTTATTAAACTCAATGGTTTTTAGCATATTCACAAAGTTGCCCAACTATCACTCTTCAAAAAAATCCCAGGCCCGTCAGCAGCCCTCCTTCCCGCAGCTCTTCCCACCCCAGGGAGTGAGTGCCTGCTTTCCAGCTCTATGGGTTTGGCTGTCCCGGACATTTTACATAAATAAAATCACACAATACTTGGTATTTTGTGACAGGCTTCTTTTACTAAACATACTCTTTCAAGCTCATCCATGTTGTGGATTTGGGTTTTACTTTTTTATTTGTTTTTGAGACAGCGTGTCACTATGTAGTTCAAGCTGGCTGAGATCCTCCTGTCTCAACTTCCCAGTGTTGTGATTACAGGCCTGTGCCAGCACACCAGGCCGTTGTGATCTTTTTTCATGTGTGTTTGCGTGTGTATCACCTGAGTTGAACTCTTGGATTGCTGAGCAATATCTGCAGCACTTTTTACTTTTACTTTTTTAGGGTACTGGGGATTGAACTCAGGGGCTTCACAATGAACTACATCTCCAAGCTTTTGTTTGTTTGTTTGTTTGTTTGTTTTTTGAAACGGGGTCTCACTATGTTGAAGGCTTGCCTTCAAGTATGATCGAGGAGCCTGGTCTACATGAGAGAGCTTGTCTCAAAAAATAGAAATCGTTTTTTAAATTAAAAATTGAGGCAGTATCTCAATAAATTGCCAGACTCTATTATTTGCAACTTGTGGTCCTCTTCCTTCACAGTGGTGGGATTATAGGCCTGAGCCACCAGGTCTGGCAGCAAAGGTCAAGGTTGGGGAAAAAGCAGCCCAGCACAGAGACAAATGCCTGTAATCCCTGTACCTCTGAGGCTGAGGCTGGAAGATTTCAAAGTTCGAGGCCAACTTGGACAACTTTGCAAGATCCTATCTCAAGAAAATTTTGTTTAAAAAATGATATGCACCTTAGTGTGAAATAGCCTGAGCTAAATCTCCAGTATGGGGTGTCGGGTGTCGGGAAGGACTTTCTAACCACGGGAACCACTAGCGGCCTCAACGCACTGCAGCGTTGTTTCGGCGGTTTTACAATCGTCCTGGGCACTTTTCTCTTCAACCGGCCTGCAAACTGCAGGCAGGTTCATAGACCGCTTCTAAAGTCTCCCCTAGCATCCGTCCCACGCGCAAAGCACGTCAGGAAACCTGCTCCACCGCCAGCGTAGCGTAGCGCAGCGCGGGACGACGGCGCTCGGGCCCCGAGATCGAACCGCAGGGCGCCACGTCCAGGCCACACCCCGGCTCCGCCGCACGCTAGAGCGCCGCTGGGCTCGCGCACACCCGAGGGCAGGGCGCGAGGCCCCGCGGGCTGAGTGAGGCCCGCCTTCCGGAGGGCTGTCTACCCGGGTCGCAGCCTTGGGGAAGAGCCGCTCCGTTGAGCGCTGGTCACGGGATCTGTCGAGCCCCTGAAGGCAACATACAGAGCCGGAAGATGGTGCCACCACCGGGCAGACTCATTGGACGACCTAAAGGCTAGTACTCTGTGAGGCGGAGGGGCGGGGCGGGAGCCAGCCCCGCCCCGGAAGCGGAAGTGCGGGCTGCGCGGTCCTGTCCGCTGAGAGCCGGGCCCTTCCGCTTTCCGTTCCGCCCGGCGCTGTTATCGCGCCCTTTCTCCTGCCCGCGTCCCGCTTACCGGCCCCGCCATGCTCTCTCTAGACTTTTTGGACGATGTGCGGCGTATGAACAGGAGGCAGGTGAGGTTGCTCTCCGGGTTCCCGAGTTCCCAGTGTCCTTTTGAGGCCAGCGCGGCGGGAGCCGGCGAGCCTCTGGACCCGTCCTGAGGGCTTCTCGGGTGTGACGCGCGGACCGCCCCTGTCTCCTGAGGCTGTGGGCTGAGGCCGCGCCGTCCGCCGCTGTGCTTAGCCCCGAGCCGTTTTGGGGCCTGCCTGGGTGGAGCGCGAGGGTCTTCACTTCTTCCTCCCGGGGCGGCAGCCGGCGCGCGGAAGCCGTGGGGCGCTCAGTGAGTGGGCATTGGGGCTGCCCATGTGAGGCGGCAAACTCGCCGTGTGTTCCCCCGAAGGGCCCGGGTGGGGTCCAGAGAGAACGGCCAGCGCCTGACCGGCCCTGCGCCCCTGGGGCTCGGAGAGGGTCTGTAGGCCCCGCGGGAGCACTTCCGGTCTAGCTGAGGCCGCGAGCTGAACCGACTTCGGGGACCGCTCTGGGCTCGGAGTCGGAACCGTGTGTTTGTCCTTGGGTCCACGTAGGCCTCCGAGTCAGAGGTTTTACTGCCCGATGTAGGTGGCACAGTTCTGATTTTGTCCTTCAACCTTCTTCTGTTTTCTAGGTCTTATGCCAAAAAACACTGAGAATCCTGTTACGATTTAGTCATTACAAACGGTTGTGCCTTTTTGTCTTCAACACCAAGTGTGTCTGTGGAGTCATTTTGCTTGCCGCCGATTTTTTGAATAGTATTTTGCTGTCAAGAATTACCCTGATGCCAGTATTTAAATTTTTTTTTTCTTGGACTTGTATTTAGGGCAAGTAGGTATATAGCCTCCTCTTACTCCCCTTCAGGCCTTAGCGATCTCTGTATCCTCTTCTGTTAGGACACATCTGAAGGATTGTGCGTTTCTAACGAGGCGTTAAGAACAGCTTGAAGGAGGAACTGGCATTTAAACTGGGTCTTGAAAGACCTTCATTTTTTCATGCTGGGGATTGAACCTAGGGCCTCACACATGCATATAGTAGGCATGCGCACTATCATTGAGCCGCACACCCACCTCTGAAGAGCCTCATTTTTGTAGGTTGGTTAGCATTTTGACAATTGAAGATGAAAAGAAAGAAGAAAGTGTACAGAACACTTGCAGACCTGCTGTGTGGTAGGATCTGAGATGGCAGAAGTATTGAAGGCGCACTTCCTGCCCACAGAGTTTATCAGACTAAAAGAGAAAGAAAAATATGAATTACATTATTATAGAGCTTTATGATAAATACTATAACAAAATTATAGGGAAAGAGGGATATGGTGTGAGAATGAGGCGATGGTCCTGCCTTTATGTTTACCTAAGACGGAATAATTGTGCAGAATTCATTGCATCAGGACATTTAGGATTGGTGGAAGTTTATGTGGCACCCCCTTTTCTCTAGAGATTATTAGGAATAAAGGGCAGGGATTGGATGGCATGAGGTGGGAGTGAGGGAGTTATAAAAGATTTTACCTGTACATATTTGGGAAAAACAATTGATGGTGACTGTAGATATTGACAGCTAATCAAACACGGAAAGCTAGAATTTTGTTTTTATTCCTTAAAAATTGTTGTAGTTTATGTAACTTTTCTAGTTTTGCCTAGCCAGGTGTGGTGGCACATGCCTGTAAGCCCAGCACTCAGGAGGCTGAGGCAGGAGGTTAGTCACAAGTTTGAGGCCACCCTCAGGTACATAGTGAATTCAAGGCCAGCCTGGACTACATAGTGAGAGACCCTGTCTCAAAAATTAAAAAAAATAGTTACGCCTAATTACATGTTACTCATGTATCAAGTATTTGTGTTTTTTTGTTGTTGTCTTTTTGAGACAGGGTCTTGATATGCAGTTCAAGCTGGCTTTGAGCTCACTTTGTAGCCCCGGCTGGTCTTGAACTCACAAAGATCCTTCTGCTTCAGCTTCCCGAGTGCTGGGATTACAGGTGTGCACCACCACGCCCAGCCTTCATATCAAGTATTTGATTGTTTTGTTTGAGATTGATTGAATTTTGTAATAGTGGGTTTTTGTACTGAGCTATATCCCTCTTGGCTTACTAAGTTTCTGCAGTTGTGTGCACCTGTCATAATCAAGATACAGAACATGTCTGTCACCCACAAGATCGTCTGTGCCACTTGTAGTCTTCTCTTCCCCAGCCCCAGGCAACCTCTGATTTGCTTTTTGTTAGTATAAAGAGGTTTGCATTTTATAAAAATGAAACCATAGAAAATGTACTAAATTTTCTTTTTTGTTTTTTGGGTTTTTGTTTTGTTAGGCTTTGAGACATTTTGATAAGTAGTTGAGGCTGGCCTTGAATTTATGATTATTCTGTTTCAGCCTCCCAACTGCTAGGATTACAAGTGTGCATCACCCTACTTAACCTTTTAATTGATTTTTTTTCCCTCTACTTAATTTTTAAAGACTTTTTTTAAAAAGAGTTTTTATATTCACTGCAAAATTGAAAGGACAGTACAGAATTTGCTGTGTACTCCATCTTGATACATGCCTACTTTCCACCACTGTCAACACCCCATTAGAGGGGTGTATTCATTAAAATTGATAGCCTATATTACTGTGTTTAAGGATCACTTTTTACGTTGTGTAGTCTGTGGGCCTGGATAAATGTGCAATGACATGTAGTCACCATTATAGTATATAGAATAATTTCACTGTGTGTTGCCTGTTCATCACTCTTCCACCCACGAACCTTGGCAACCACTGATCTGTTTACTGTTTCACAGTTTTTCTTTTTCTAGAATGTCACATACTGTAGTTGGAATCATCCACAATGCAGCTTTTTCAGGCAGGCACACACGCCACTGAGCTATATCCCCAGTCCTACAGCCTTTTCAGATTGGCTTCGTTCACTTAATAATATACATTGAAGATCCTGCGTGTCTTTTCTTTTTTTCAGTGCTGGGGATTGAACTCCTCCTGCATGTCTTCTCATGGTTTCATAGCTTATTTCTTTTTAGTCCTGAGTACTAATGTTTTCTGAATGTGCTAAAGCTTGTCCATTCACTGGCTCTCGGACATCTTGGTTGCTTCAGGTTTTTGTAAATGCCGAGGTGCAGGATTGCTGAATCATAAGATAAGAGTGTGTTTAGCTTTGTAAGAACTCGTCCCACTCTTCAGTCTTGCAGTCCCACCAACACCAGTCCCTCCAGGACTTCGGAGGCTGAGATAGGGGTATTGTGAGTTTGAAGCCAGCCTCAGCTACATAGCAAGACTCTACCTCAAAAATGCCAAATGTGGTAGTGTGCTCCTGTCAGGAGTTCAGTGCCAACCTTAGCTACATAGCAAAACCCTATTAAAAAAAAAAAAAAAAATGATGGCCAAGGGTATAGCTCAGCAGCACAGTGCCTGCCTGGCAAGTGCAAGGTCCTAAGTTCGATTCCCAGTACCAAAAAAAGAGGGAGGAAAACAAATTGGTGTTGTTGGTGTTTTAGATTTTGGCCATTCTAACAAGTATGTATTGTGATTGTTGTATTAACTAATTGTTCTGTTAACTGTCTTAAAAGGGAAAGAAAATCCATCTCTTTTGAGATAGGGTTTCCTTATGTAGCCTAGGCAATCCTCCAGCTTGATAATGTAGCTCAGGCTGGCCTTGACCTCAAAATCCTCCTGCCTCAGCATGCTGAGTCCTGGGATTACAGTATACTCACCACTGAACCACACCCCAAACTGTTATACTAGTTTTTGGGGTTTTGTGTGTGGTTTTTGTTGAGACAGGATCTCCCTATGTAGTTGAAGCTGACCTTGAACTCAGTTGTAGCCAAGGTTAGCCTCAAACTGATGTTGCTACTCCTGCCTCACCCTCCTAAATGCTGACATCAGCCACTATGGCTGGCCCTTGTACTTTTTTTTGAGACAGAGTCTTACCATGAAGTTCAGGCTGCCCTTGAACTTACTGTGTAGTCCAGGCTGGCCTTGAACTCGCAGCAGTCCTCCTGCTTCAGCCTCTCTAATGCTGAGATTACAGGTGTGCGCCACCACAACCACTCAGCTTTGTACTAATTTTTAACAGCACTGTATTTAATAACTGGCTTATAAAACAGCAGTTTGGTTTCAGCAAACCATTGGTTAATATGAGAGTTTTTTACGCAGTTGAGATGGTGTTTATGTGAAGAGCCTATTCAATATTCTCTTTAGTTTTAAAAAATTAATATTCAGTTTATAAAAGCTAAAATTTTTCAGTGTTGGGGGTGGAATCCAGGACCTTGTGCATACTAGGTCGCTGCTCTACCACTGAGCTTTTTTTTTTTTTTTTTTTGTCTTTTTGCGACAGGGTCTCGCTATGCAGTTCAGGCTGATCTTGAGCTCACTTTGTAGCCCAGGCTGGCCTCAAACTTGCAACAATCCTCCTGCCTCAGCACTTGAGCTCACTTTGTAGCCCAGGCTGGCCTCAAACTTGCAACAATCCTCCTGCCTCAGCCTCCCTAGTGCTGGGATTATAGGCGTGCGCCACCACTCCCGGCTTAGCATTGAGCTTTTATCTGCAGCCTAAAAAAGTTCAAATTAAAAACTTAAGTTCCTGGGCCAGGGATATAGCTCAGTGGCGTAAGCACCTACCTGGCAAGTGCAAAGTCCTGAGTTCAATTCCTGGTACCATAAAAAATAAATAAAAATAAAAAACTTAAGTTCTTTTATTTTTTTGTACTTAAAAAAAATTGTATTAGTACATGTTTGCAATACATATTTTCCCCTTCCCCTCCATTCCCTCCCACCATTTTAACCAGCATCAGATTTATTTATCTTATAGATCCTTATAGATCTTATAGATCCTTATAAAGTTAATTGTCATGTATACAGATTAACAACTACACTAATAGACCAGAAAACATACAAGACAGTTACAGTAAAATCAAGATAAACTTTTTTTTTAGGTCTTTTTGAGACAGGGTCTTGATATGTAGTTCAGGCTGGCCTTGAGCTCACTTTGTAGCCCAGGCTGCTCTTGAATTCGCAAAGATCCTCCTGCCTCAGCCTCCCGAGTGCTGGGATTACAGGTGTGTGC